TATGTATATATCATTGAATTATTTAAACATTAAAAGTTTCGACAGGTATAAGCTTCTAATTTATCGATTGTTTTCTACTTCATTTACGGTTTAAAAATAAGTTCTTATCATTTGTATTCATTAAATAGTATTTACTTATAATATTTTCCAAATTTTATTACCATACCATACGCGTATTGACATTCCGAATTTTATTATCATACCATATGTTAATATGTATTGACATTCCTTTTATACATATGTATGTGACTTATCATAAAACACCTATCGTCTCTGAAGGTTTGCTTAGTCATGCTTTTATGAAAAGTATCTACTATTTTAAAAACAAATGAATTAGTAGCCACACACTCTATACTAATGATGCATTTCGATACGAGAATCTCGGAATATCGTCTCGGAACTGCTCGTATCATTAAAAATATCATTTCCGAGATTATCATGTATCATTTGTTTGTCTCGTCTTGGTCTCATCTCGAAAAAATCGGAGAAATATCGAAACATTATATGAAACTTAAACTCATTTTACCGAAACCCAATTTTCCATATAATTAGTGCGAGATCTTTTAGATGTAGAATTGTATTTAGAAGTTTAGAATCGTGCACTGAAAGTATTCTTTCAATTAAGTCTAAATCAAAATTTTATTTAAATATTAAAATTTCTTATATAAGACGGAACACATATGCACATAAACGAATGTTTAAACTTTTAATATATGTGCTAGCTGGTACAAATCGATAAACTCAATTCGTTGGCATCACAAAATGGGCACCAGGATGTCGAAGAAGGGTGGTGTTGGAGAAATATATCAAAAAGATATGGCACTTACACAATTCGGTTTTATGGGATACGTCCTTACTACACCTAGGTCTTTTGGGCTGAACACTACATTGGAAGAAGAAGAAGCATTTAATCATTTCTGGCGTGTAAATGGTTATATGTTAGGCATCCCTGATAAGTAATGCATACAATGTTTAATTCTGATTTTTACTAAGCAAGTTTAGCATTCAAATCTGATATATTCTATTACACAATCTCTGATATAATTTAAATAATTTATAAATTTGGCAGATTGTACACACAAATTATACACTTGTAATTTTATTAATTCCATTTGTCCCTCATCTACAGATTGAATATTTCTCGCAAAAACGCAAAAGAAACTACCGAACTATGTCATAAAATCAAAAATTTGTATGGAACTTATTTGAGTAACGGTTCATCTGAATTTGATGAAATAGCGATAACTGCGTTAAATGCAGTATGGTACATTGATATAACCGTGGATATAGATTCTTTCATGGCATTCGCTTATAAATTACATGGACTCCCAGGTAAATATTCAATTTTCGCATTAATTAAAAATTTTTATTTCGATAATTTCTATTTAATGTTTTTTTTTTTATAAATGATATG